CACTTTCAACTCGGGAACCACAAAAGCTAGGCGGCTGAAATTTTGGTATAGTGTTCTCCGCCAGCGAGTGACGCGGCAAATTTAAATTCAGCCTCCCCGTACCCGCGGGTAACTCGTACGGCCCCATGAAAGTTTTTTACGGGTAAGTCAATATCTCAGGAACCACGGAGTCTAGGAGGCTGAAATTTTAGAGTAATGCCCCCTTGCCCACGCTCAACCTCGCCCATTCAAATTCAGCGTTTCCTCGCTGTTGAGTATCACCTACGGCCTCGTAAGAATTTTGGTGGCTAAACTATTAGTTAGGGAATCACGGAAAGATATTCACCCGTCAAGGTTTCGGATTCAGCTTTCATGCGCTGGTGCGTGAAATTTTTAACTATTTTCCAATTTTTGAAATATTTTTGCATCGAAAGTACAAGACAGTGAAAATCATTAATAGGCAATCGTTCGATGAGCTCAGTTGCACAAAACACATGATCGCACCGGCTAGTCTGGTGCGTGTTGCTATTTATTTTGAAATATGATGTTTTGCCATTTTGAGCATTTCCGTGCCATGCATCTCACCGCTGTTTGACCATTTCTTGCTAGCTTCTTTGCCCGTTTTTCTTTTTTTAGGAGTAGTATTTGTTTGCTCGGATTTTTGCGCTTTTCAGCCATACGTGCCCTCTTGAACGGTGCATCTCATAACCCAAAAATTTTCGCGCTTCCCCCTCCGAAACGAACGATTTTGTAGTGTCCCGAACGTAAAAAGAATTTTTTTTTTCGAATATACATTTCAAACGCAGAGCAGCCTGTAGACATGAAGCATTTGTTCAAACATTGGAGCGTCGGAGCATTTTCGATGCATGTTTTTCGACATTTTAGTAGTTGGTATCTCTTAAATTCTTTAAGAAACAGAATCGAGCATCACTAGGAATTCCTTCCCGATGTTATAGCATTCGTTTAAAATCTAACACGATTTTTTACAGGTGAATTCGATCGCACGCATCCTAGGCACCGAAAGAGGACACGGCAAAGAAGACACAGTAAGTCGCTTTCAAGGCGGTTGTTTATTACTTTAAAATATACGCCAGTGATATGCTGAAATTTTTTGAGGTAAAAAGCAGTTTTGCTGATTTTTAGTGAGTATTCCATGCAGTTAATTTCATTATCATCTTGTGTACTAAGCAAAATTTCATTGTAAAAACTTGCGGATGAAATTAAATTTTTATAAGACCATCACTACGAAGTACAGAGACACCCTCCACTTCCCTTGCTCTGATATAAAGCAGCAAAAGCTCTATGCATCTCTGTGACACACGTACAGGACGGGTGGCGCGATCTAACCAGGAAAAGGAAGCAAAATCGTTGAGAAAACAGTATAAATTTAACATCTGGTAACCAATACGGATACTTTGAGCGCTCAAATTATTGCAGGTAACCAATGTGCTTCATTTCTTGCAAAAGCCGGAAGATAAGGGCAAAAAGGCACCGATGGCGAAAAAACGATCGTCATCTTCGAGATCGTCAAAGAGGGGAAAGAAACAGAAGAGGACGGTAAAGAGAGGTAAATTCTAGCAGTGTTAATTGTAGAGAGGTTTCCAGTACAACCTTTGGTGATTTATATGAACCGAGTGTTTTTTTTGCATCGAAAAACAATTTTTACAGGACATACAAACAAGTACGCATAACGCAAATGTGCTGAAAATTTAAAATGCTAAAAATAATCGAAATTTGCAGCAAAGAAAGTAGGTGCAGCGAAGGAGACGGAGGATGAGGATTCCGACGACAACGAAAGTCAGAGCGGAGAGGAATCGAGCGGCGGCGAGGAGGAGAACGAGACGAAGTCGGAGCTGAAGAGTCTGGTGAGCAGTGCAAAAAAGAAGGGGACCAGGAGTTCACGTGCTGAAACTAAACAGGACAAGGTATTTTTTACTCATTTTCGTTTCATGACGGCCAAATTGGTCTCGTTAACTTTTACCGTATTCTGTTGTCCAGCTACTGAAAAATATGTATTTTTTTTTATTTTTTTTTTTT